GGTAGAAAGGATGAACGTGGAAACTGGGTGAGAAGTGGGGGTAACAACTTCAAGGTAGCTGAATTAGAAGCTAAAATCACTGAATTAGAAAGTAAAGGGAAGAGTAGAGCGGAGGAATCAAAAAATGGCGATGCTTGGGACTGAAGGATGTGCCTATCCCGAGCTCTGAGGAGGAGGTTATTGGTATTGGAGCAGTTACTTATTTGAAAAGAAATGCAAGCGATCCTCGCTTTTTTTTATCATTACCATTGTCCCATACCAGCCCCTCTCTCTGTGCCACATCAAAACCATTTGCCTTATGTTTACTGGACTGTGGAGCTACGCACGAAGCAGTCAGCGACAGGTTTGTCAGAAAATTCAATCTCAAGACCTCAAAGCTCAATGTACCACAAACGGTAAGCGCCTTTGACGGCAAGTCCAAGCAATTGACTGAAGAAGCTCATCTATTCATCGACCAAGACACAAACCCCACGCACTTTATCGTTACTCAATTGAAGGACAACTACGACGCACTATTAGGAATGCCGTGGTTTCGAAAGCATGGTCACAAGATTGATTGGTCAAAAGGCACGTTTGACAATTCACCTATGGAATTCATTGCAACCGTCGAAGCGGTTTCGTCACAACCGGAAAACCCCTTGGAGCCCGCAAGGGAAGCTAGGTCTGTTGACGAGGGGGTATGTACTGAAGCTGAAGTCAGCAACAGTACACTAATACCCCCGCAATGTGAGTCATCTTTTTCATTACACAAAGATCAGTTTAGAACGGCTAGCAACGCTTCATCTCTCTTAGAACAGTATTCCCAAAACCGACTAGCACCAACAACAATTAAGGATGACGAACCACGAAATGCAGCTGTCCCGTCAGCTTCTTCCATTCCGAAAACATCCTCCGAACCCAAGGAGGCCAAGAGGAAAGCAAGGAATAGTGAAGAGGGGGTATGTACTGAAGCTGAAGTCAGCAACAGTACACTACACTAATACCCCCGCAATGTGAGTCTGCTACTGGAATTTCATCCCTAGTGTCTGAAACAGCTCGCAAGCGTGATTCTCTCCAAATTAGTAGTCAACTACCAGCCATATCAGCAGCGAAAGCCTCTTGGTCAACAGCAGCAAGAATTGCGGTCGAAGAGAAGAAGAAAACAGTCCAAGAACCAGTCGAGAAACTAGTCCCAACACAATACCACAGATACCTAGGAATGTTCAGCAAGACCAAGGCTCAGACACTTCCACCGAGACGCAAGTATGATTTTCAGGTAAAATTAATCCCAGGAGCTACACCGCAAGCAGGCAAAATCATCCCGCTTTCCCCAGCCGAAAATGAAGTTCTGGAGAAAATGGTGAACGAAGGCTTAGCAAACGGCACAATTAGACGGACGACATCACCGTGGGCGGCTCCAGTACTATTCACGGGTAAAAAAGATGGCAACCTCAGGCCTTGTTTTGACTACCGTCGACTGAACGCTCTGACAGTAAAGAACAGGTACCCACTACCATTAACCATGGAGTTAGTGGATAGTCTGAGAGGAGCATCAAAGTACACAAAGCTGGACATCAGAAACGCGTATGGAAATCTGAGGGTAAAAGAGGGTGATGAAGACGTGTTGGCGTTCATATGCAAAGCAGGTCAATTCGCCCCTCTTACCATGCCATTCGGACCTACAGGCGCCCCAGGTTGTTTTCAATACTTTATCCAGGACATTCTCTTAGGACATATAGGAAAAGACACCGCCGCATTCATCGACGACATTATGATCTATACAAAAGACGATGTGAATCACGAAGACACTGTAGAAGACATCTTGAAAATATTAAGTAAATATTCTTTATGGCTTAAACCGGAAAAGTGTGAATTCTCTCGTTCAGAAGTCGAATACCTGGGTCTCATCATCTCAAAGAATCAAATACGAATGGACCCAGCAAAGGTCAAAGCAGTCGCAGACTGGCCTGCTCCAAAGAATACGTCCGAGGTATTGCGGTTCTTAGGATTCGCCAACTTTTATCGGAGGTTCATCGAGCAATTCTCAAGAACAGCAAGACCATTGCACGACCTCACGTGTAGAGAAACACCTTTTTCATGGACAAAGGAGAGACAGGAGTCATTTGACAAACTAAAAACTTCATTCACTACCGCACCAGTCCTTCGGATAGCTGACCCCTACCAACCTTTCATCCTAGAGTGCGATTGCTCAGATTTGGCCCTAGGAGCAGTACTGTCGCAGAAGGCTGAAGACGGCGAAGTTCATCCGGTAGCATACCTATCACGATCACTCATACCAGCAGAGCGCAATTACGAAATCTTTGATAAGGAGCTATTAGCCTTGGTAGCATCATTCAAAGAGTGGCGCCAATATTTGGAAGGGAACCCCCATAGACTTGATGTAATAGTATATACTGATCATAAAAACCTGGAAAGTTTCATGACGACCAAGCAACTGACACGTAGACAAGCTAGGTGGGCAGAAACACTTGGGTGTTTTGACTTTGTAATCAAATTCAGGCCGGGAAGGAGCGCAACTCAACCGGACGCACTGTCTCGAAGACCGGACTTGGCGCCATCATCAGAAGAAAAACTGACTGTCGGACAACTCTTACGACCTAGCAACATCACAGAGGATACCTTTGCAGAATTAGACGCGTTCGACGCCCAATTTGCAAACGAGGAGGAAGTGGAACACGTGAAAGCTAATGAATGGTTCCAATGTGATATTGCAGGCACCAAAACTGATCCAGAGAACAACCTTTTACCATCGGACACGGAACTAGTACAAAAGATAAGAGAGCTTAATGTCAAGGACGAAAAAATTCAAGAAATCATGAATGCATTAATAAACCCGATATCATCCAAAATCAAGGAGGCTCTGAACGTGTACTCAGTGGCAGACGGTATCCTTTATCAGGACGGTAGGGTGGTGGTTCCGGAAAACGACAAAATCAGAGCAGAAATACTGAAAACTTATCACGACAGTAAACTGGCAGGCCACCCAGGAAGAGCTAAAACCCTTAGCCTCGTCAAACGCAATTACACCTGGACAGGACAAAAAGCATTCGTAAACAGATATGTGGAGGGGTGTATTTCATGTCAAAGAGTGAAACCAATGCTAATGAAACCTTTCGGATCGCTAGAGCCATTACCAATCCCTGCAGGACCCTGGACAGACATTAGTTACGATCTCATCACGGGATTACCAACGTCGAACGGGAAGAATAGTATCTTAACAGTCATCGACCGATTAACCAAAATGGCGCATTTCCTACCATGTAACGACACTGATGGAGCGGAACAGCTAGCGGATCTAATGATGAAAGAAGTATGGAAGATACACGGAACGCCAAAGACCATAGTATCGGATAGAGGTTTGATATTCATCTCTAAGATCACATCTCAATTAAACGAAAGACTTGGCATCAAATTACAACCGTCAACAGCGTTTCACCCCCGATCAGATGGTCAATCAGAAATCGCCAATAAGGTAGTGGAACAATATCTGCGGCACTTTGTATCATATCATCAAGATGATTGGGAACCATTATTGGCCCCGGCGGAGTTTGCGTATAACAACAACACTCACACATCAACAGGAGTATCCCCATTTAAAGCTAACTACGGGTACGATTTAACTCTAGGACCAATCCCATCCGAGGACCAGTGCGTGCCGGCAGTTGAGGAACGATTACAACGCTTAGCAGAGGTACAACTTGAACTACAATCATGTATAGAAGGCGCTCAAGAAGCAATGAAACATCAATTCAATAAGGGAATACGAGATACACCGGCGTGGAAAGTAGGAGAGAAAGTTTGGCTCCACAGCAGAAACATATCGACGACAAGGCCAAGCCCCAAGTTGGACCATAGGTGGCTAGGACCCTTTAGTATAGTCAAAAGAGTTTCCCCTTCTACGTACCAATTAAAGTTACCATTGACAATGAAAGGAGTTCACCCCGTGTTTCACGTTTCAGTATTACGAAAAATGGAACCCGATACAATCAAGTCAAGACAAATAGACGAGTTGCCACCAATTGAAATTAAAGGAGAAGAAGAGTGGGAGGTCGAAGCAATACTGGACAGCAGAAAAAGATACAAGACACTGGAGTACCTTGTAAGCTGGAAAGGATACGGTAAAGAACATGACTTGTGGGAACCATATTCAAATCTAACCAACGCAAAAGAAATGGTAAGAGATTTTGATAAGAGATTTCCAATGGCGGCTACAAAATACAAAAGGTCAAGGAGAAAGTGAGCGGGTCAAGCTTTTTCCCACTGGGTTTTTTAATGCTGACCCAGGGATGTATGCAGGGCTGCAAGAGGAGTCTGGGCATAAAGAGGGGGATAGTGTAATAACCACATGAGGTGTTAGTAGCATTATGCTAATAGCGTGTATGAGCGGACTCTATAGTTTTCACTCCTCTCCGTTGTACTTGATCCTCACACTGCAATCTAGTTAATAGTACCAATAGGCCTTCATCCTCTATCTCATCACATCCACCGTGTTAGTCCGGGTCATAACACATCGAGAGAAACCACCCTCGGTATAAGGATGTTTTCTCTACATTCACCCGTTACCCGATATCTACCTGTATCTTGGAAACAGACGGAACCGTCGTGCCTTTGGGTTCCGTCCACCATCCACTCTCTCTCAGTTGATATCTCTCGAGGAAGATTATTTAAATTCATATTATGTTTCTCACTTTTATTGTTTTAGTTTATTTCTATTTATGTGTGTTGTAATGCTTGTTACATGGTCACCTATTTCATCACAATGCACAAGGCTCATATCAAACTCTTGGTCGGTTTGTCCTATGCAAACCTAAAGAGTTCATCTATGAATACTCTAGGTTTCTTGGGGGGGGCCCTCAGCCCTCATGAGGGACCGAGGGAGGTAGGACACCGGTCAGAGTAGATGGATGAATTGCTATGAGAACAAAGAGAAGTTTACTTTACAAATCAATTTCATTGATTCTCCTTTGAATGTTGTAGCTTGTCAAGTTGAGATCGAAAAGTCAATCCAAGATTCCCAGGCTTGAATAAACCGTTTCCGAGCAAAATCTCCGACCACAATTGTGGGATTTGGCTTTGGCGTACCGTTCCTCATCTAAGAAATATTTGTCTTTATAACAATCTATCATTATGGGTCTGATCCTAGGTTGAATCATTTGGGTAAAGAGCAATCCATTCTATGATGACAGAGTTGAGTAATTGAGATTAGCAAGGAAATTAATAAGCAGATCCTATCATGATGTATGCAACCGCTTACTTTTGTAATTGTGTAAACCATGCATATAAAAAACTCCTGCCATCGTCCACTCATACCCGTCAGTTTGGCGATGATAGCATTGATTGCTTTCAAATCGGACATCTCGTTATCAATAGCAGCAGCAATTAGATTTGAGGTACCAGACATTGCGCTCAGGGACGGCTGTAGATTATAAGTGCGTTGAACATTTCCCGCAAAAGATCGCAATCAACTTTGAAGTCTAATAGCCCAGTTGATTGAGGATGTTACATGTGAATTTGTTGGAGTAGAAACATTGAGGTTGGATATGATTGATCTTGCTAGAGGGTGGTGAATTGTAGTACCAGTAGTAAGAAGTTGATTGAGTTCTGGAAATGGGTAATTGGTAATCTTGTTCTGTACTAAACAGTTGATCAACAAATGTAATATATTTCCCAAATCCAACTCTGGCTAAGATTCCATTCGATAAGAAGTATCAATTTGGTTTTAGCTGATGGGCTTGCACTTGAAGTTTGTGAATGACAAACACGACTGTGATTGAATGAAAGAAAGTCAGTTCTTTATCAGACTTGTTTGTTGTTATATATCCAGGAAGAATAACACCGACTTTTGTTGGGTTGAGGAAAAGAGTGCTGATCGCACCTGATGCAAAGTTGGCCATGGCAATTTAACCAAACTTTAGAATTATCAACGACTCCTTTCAAGTAAAAGTAAACTGATTTTTCATTCAAATCTATTTCAATTTTTGTCATGTTAGTCACTTGCTTCTTGAATACCAAAATTGGATAGGATATTGACCTACTCCACGACCATGACCATGGAGTTTAGTTGATAAATTTGCTCATAGACTTATAGTTGTTATCCAATCATCAATCCAAAAATTGAGATCAAGTAGAACTTGTGAACTTGAATAAAGCAATTGATAGAAGCAGTACCAAGTCTGATTTGTGGATATATACTTCAAGATAGCTTTAGAGGTATCTTGAAAAAATGAGATCCAACTTAGATATGTGGCCACTACTTTCCATCTGGTGATGACAAAATGTTTGAATGAAGATGAATGGAAGTTGAAGTTAGCCAAAGTGAGATACAATGCAACAAGTGAAGCAATTATCAACTCACAGAATCAAAACTCTTCACAGGAGCAAAGGGCTCAATCTTGTATTCAATTCTGGAAAATTAGGTTTCTCATCTTGAACTCCCTTTTTGAAATGTTTGTATTTTATTGGAAATTGTGATTGTTTTGGAAGGTTTGGGCTGGAGTGAAACCACACAACGGGTATATATTGGATTTGTAAATAGTGAGTGCAAACTGACTCAAGTCCTAAAATCAACTTGCTGAGTAAAATGGTGGATTGGTGGACTCTGTAGAGTGTAAGCAAACTAAATTGAGGGTGACAATCGGTTTTATTACTTTGATGTTTCAAGTTGGTTCATGTTGCTTTAATGTTTCTCTTGTGATGACCATTCTGAGTGACTTCATCATGAGAATGATTTGAAGATACAATGTTTGGATCAGATTGTTATCTATGACCGGTTGAAATGAGCAACTGCTTGAGAATTGATAAAGAAGGTAAAGGGTCAATATCGAAGTAAGTTCCTGATCATAGTCGATGATTGTAGTTGAAGTTGAAGTGGGTTGAAGGATTGGATTGAATTGAGATGAAATGTTCAGGTGCTTTGACCAATAGATGATGAGGTGAACGCGTCAGCCAGGGATTTTACTCAAATGACGTGTAAACCTCCAACCTGAAAGTACTGATTGGGAGTTTTGTCCAGTTTTGCCGGCGAACATGGTTTGCCTTTAACTTATATGATTTAACTTATATGATATGTCTGCCCTGTAAGAGCATCCGCACTCGTGCGGTAAATCGGGTGCGGTAAGGTTAAATTTAACGCAACCGCGGGGTCTTTTCCACACCGGTGGAAAATTAGCCCCGCGGTAGTTAACTTTTGATCAATTTGCGTTAGCAAATCGGTAAATTTACCGATTGGCTAACGCATGCATTAACACACATCGCGACTAGCTGACAGCAACTTCGACTCCAAAAACGAGACTCAACCCGACCTCCAACACCAAAGTCAACCCACACCTCCTTTTCACCTTCCACATTCACCTTCCACACACGATGAAATCCAAGCCTCACAGTCACATGAACTAAATCAAGAACAATCAATGCTGATTCATGTTGTTTCAATCTTCAATTTTTGGTGTTTTTTAATTAAAATAGCTCGATCAGATATCTTCAACTTGACTTCATACCAATCAGATGAATATGTAGAATGTCAACATTCATATAGCATGTACAGTTCAAATGAAAGACAATCAACATTCAAAGACTAATCATGGGGGACTTTCAAGATCAAGTGATACAAATCATTAAGAAAAGTTTGGATTTGTTCAGATCGTTCAGATCGTCGATTTTTCTTTTTTAACTTTGAATCTTTAATATTTTCACAAGATCATAATTGCATGTATTCAGACTCATTAAAGGCTTGATCAATGTAGTCAAGCGTTTGGTTTTTGAACTTGAATTGATCAATTGAGTTGCTGAACAAAGTCATGTTGACTTTGTCCTTTTAAATCAAAATTGCTGATCAGGTAGATGAACAAGTATTCACTACACAAAATATAATATTTTCTGGGCAGAAAATTAAATTATTGATACACAAAAATATTGAGAGGCCAGGAGAAGGGCAAAAAATAAATAAAAATATGCATCTTGTTCCCTGCGGTGAGAGCTTCACTCTCCATATTTTTCCATATTTTTACAGTCCGTATTGATAAGTGTACTAACAATAAACCTTCATAATCATCCAATTACAACCTGTAACAAGCACTGAAATTTGGCTCATTAGTGTTTAGAGAAACTTTTGATTTCTGAAAACACCTATAACTTTGTCAAATCTGCCTCAAAACACTCGATTTTAAGTGCATTAGAAAGCTGAACTCTTCCTCTCAAACTTTCATAAGGTCAAGAACTATGTAGCTAGTATAACAATCATTCTATGGATCTGTATGTACAAATGTACAAAAAAGATTATATCTTTTTTAGCAGACCAGCATGCTGTGTGGTCCTATTATGAACTATTTGGAGGACAATTCCAGCTTACCAATGCACCCAAAATCGAGCGTTTTGGACCGGAATTGAAAAAGTTATGAGTATTTTCAGAAATCAAAAGTTTCTCTAAACACTAATGAGCCAAATCTCAGTGCTTGTTACAGGTTGTAATTGGATGATTGTGAAGGTTTATTGTTAGTACACTTATCAATACGGACTGTAAAAATATGGAAAAATATGGAGAGTGAAGCTCTCACCGCAGGGAACAAGATGCATATTTTTATTTATTTTTTGCCCTTCTCCTGGCCTCTCAATATTTTTGTGTATCAATAATTTAATTTTCTGCCCAGAAAATATTATCTTTCTTGTAGTGATTGGATCTATGTAGATGGAGAATGTGAAAGCAACTTCAGTCCTCCAAAGAAGCGGACAGTGGCTCTATCATATTAACACTTGTGATGAAAGCAGGTGATTAGTACTTGAAAAATCAAAATGTTACCTTACTGCATGACCCGTGTGGAGCACATGCATTATCTGTAAAGTTGTAACAGTTACAGCACTGCTAATGCAAACGAGTGGGGAATTTAGTCGAGTTAAGTAATTTTTTACTTAAAGTAGGGTTTGTTACCGTGCGTGATCAAGTTAACAACCGCAAACCAGTGCGGATGCTCTAAGGGGGTGGTCCGCACTGTACAGCCTGTATTCACAACGTAGAGTGACTTGAAATCCAAAAAGGGCATTGTTGTAAAGATTTTCATCTCATTTTCCCGGCCACATCACCCAGGATATATAAGATATGAGCATACCAGGATGTGTACAACATCGTGCTGAAGAAAGTTGCCTGCAAGGAAAATTGGTGTTTATCAGCGAGGAAACCAGGAAAAGTCAAAAAACGGCTTAAGAGGACTTAATCCTTGGAGTCTCCGTGCCAAGATTTCACAATTAGTCCCAAGCCCCTCTGCGAGGCGCGCGGACGTGGCCGCGCAGAGAGGGCTTGTTCAAGCTAATGGGGTTTCCAATCTTGACTCTGGAACTCTCTGGAACCAACACCATCAATCATCAATCTCACCACCAGAATCACCCTCCCTCACCATCCACACCCATCATATTCTGACCATCCATGTCCATCAATTCAAAATGGTTTTCTTAAATTAAGTGAAGAGTGTAAGTGCTGATCTTGGACTTCTTCATTCTTCATTTTTTTTTCGGATATTCCAGAGTAGATTCAATTGACAAATCAAGTTTTTCCTATCATTGTCTTTACTAATACTGGTCTCTATAAATTCATCATTAAATCCTCAACAGTTGAGACCAATTGTTATTTTTAGATATCACTGATCTTCTCACTTTTCACTTTCTCAATTTCTCTCTTTGGATATCTCTTTGGGTTCAATCCATGTTCTTCTTTGTGCAACAAATCGGTTGATTGTCATTTCACATCCAAGTTCTTTGTTTGGTTTGCCAAGCCTCAGATTGTTTCCATATCAAAGCTTAAGAAACAAAATCACATTTGGAGACCTGTTTTGATTTTTCAAATCCCAGTGACAGTACTTCTAGATTATGAAGATGGGTCATATGTGTGTGCGTCCTTGGGATATCCTGATTGGTGCTGACCTCATTCTGAATGAGGACCCAGGATCTGTTGAATTGTATTGGATAAAGAGGTCCATAGACCAACTTGAGTTAATTCATGCTCTCCTCCAGAGCACGTTGGAATTTGACTTTAACTTGACTGGAAGCTTTGACAAGAGCCACATGAAGACCTCTCTACAACTCTTACTTGTGTTTAGGACGTGGCCGCGCAGAGAGGGCTTTCCAAATGTGACACTTTTTGGTCAGAGAAATTTGAGTTCTACCAAACCGGAAGTATGAACACAGTTTCATTTTCTTTTGCCCAACTCAGCAGACCCTTCTTGAAATCGGTTAAAAGTTCTCGGAACATTCAAGTTCCAGACCCTTTGAAGAGAGGTCGAAGAATGTACAATGTCTGTATCAAGGCTAAGAAATTAAAATGGCAATATTAGGAATGCGTTTAACGAAGATGTCTGTACTTCATGTGGGCCTAAGTAGACATTCCGCGCCTACCTGCGACCATCAACTGAGGATGATGATGCACAACTTTGATTGACGAATACCCAAAATCATAGCTTCTGTTCGATTCATCTCACCTTCGTTGCATTCAATTGAGATGACCAACTCAAGACAAGAAAATGAACGAGTGGCTCAAACTGAAAACTCATATGGAAATGAGGAAGATTTACTCGGCCGCTTACCAAACGAGGTCCTTCTCAATATCATAGGACACCTTCTCAAAACTCATCACTGGGCCGAATCTCAAAAGAATCTACAGAAGAAGTCAGAACAGACGATAACTGTTTCATCAGGGCCGAAGAGCGCTGTACGGATCTATAAACACAATCCTAAATCGCCAATCTTGACGAGCTTTCAAACCTTTTCCGTGCTCAATCGTAGGACTTATTCTCTATGTCGCCCCATCATATGGCAGGTGGGTGGTTGTTGTCTCATTGACGCTTCTGAGATACAAACCTAAAATGGACTGATGATTATATCGTATAACTTTTTACACCTCTACCTTTGTTGCTACATCGAACTAGTATCTTGAATTTCCTTCCACACCAGGTGGTCCGATGTCCTTCTGGATGGATGAAATCTTACCGAAACACGGATGTTATGTCAAAGAAGTACATGTGAAGTTACGATATGAATGGCTGCAAGAAAAACCACGGCTCGTTTGTCCCGAGGAAGCCGCCATAGGCGCAAACCAATCACCACAATCTTCGCATGTAAACACCACAAAATTTATCGAAGAGGACAATGACTTTTGGGATGTTGATGCCATCCATTCTGACAATCTAGCTATCAGTGCTCAAGACCATCATCGATCACTTGGTCTCTCTCCTGAAAATCTCGCCCGAGTGCTTTCTCATTGTGAGAAGCTTACCACGCTCCATCTCAAATGTCCGCATCTACCAACGATGTTTACTAGTCAAGAACAAGGTTATCACCTGAGTGATAAACTCATCTCACTGTTCTCTGGAATCAGCCATCTTCGACATCTCCGAATATCCAGTCCTACGTTTTCAGTACTCGGATCGGAATGCGTATCCAACACCGTTACACATCTCCCACTACTCGAATCGCTCGAGTTGGAAAATGTAGGGGATGAAGAGGGGGGAGACCATGGCGAGCTCGCTACCTGTCTTTACAATCTGAAAAACCTCAGACGTCTTGTCCTGGACGACGTTGATACTCTAAGCAGCTCTTGGGGCAATCGGCCAGGTCCTCCTCGTCTAGAAAATCTCACGATCCTCAATTGTATCGACGTTGGATTAGGGAAAATGCCCTGCTTCATAAATTCTTGGGCGCCTCTCCTCACCCATCTCAAACTCAGATTTGCCTACAATATGGATTTCGAATCAGAAGAGGATTGTCTGGCTTTCAAACCTGAGGATAATCAATTTTTACTTCCGGCTTTGACACATTTGACAATCTGGCCAAGTGCTGGTTGTCAGTATATTCACTGTTTTTCGGGTTGCAAAGCTCTTCGTCACATCATGTTCAATTACTTTATCGGATATGATTCAGCTCCAGACAAAAAGTCAAATTACATGTTAGAGGAGGGATCATTCGAAGGACTGTTACAATTTTCAAACTTCATCACCCGAAATCACTTCCCCAAATTAAAAGTGATACATTTACCAGTAGAAGAAGAAAGCCTTCCACTTGATGCAGCTGTGGTTTCTATATTGATTCCGTTGGACGAATACTGCAAGTCGATTGGTATACAGTTGAAGATTTTTTTTGATCGCGTGAGCCATTCGACTTTCTCCAGTCGAGATTATCAACCAGTTCCTTTACAAAAATTGAATTGAAGAAGGTGTTACTCGTTGGCGAGTAAATATGTCGTAGCCTTTGCGATACTTTTCCCCGAACTTGCTTGAAAGTGTTGAACATGGCCTCAACCCCATTTTTGTCTCCAACTCTTATGATTGGGTAATACTTGGTTGTTTGCTTATCACCATATCCATATTGTACTCAGCCTTGCGCTCAACTAATATCATTCAGATGATACTGAGCTGCAGCATCCCATGTATTCGTCTCTTAGCAATTGCGCCTTGTAACATATCTGCCTCAACCTCTTCAACTTGAGCAATGAGCCAGAATAGTTTTTTTTACATAGTGGTCTCTTATTATGCGTCATCCATTAGACAATAATCATTCTTGTAACTGCATAACATAGGTTTGGAGAGCAAGCGCATATTATATGGATAGGAAGAGCATCGATCTCCGATAGCCTTGTCGAAATTGCAATCATCTTCATATCTCCTGTTATTTCCCCCAAAACCATAGGATGCAATATCATATCAAAAAGAAACCCGCCGCATCTCCATCATCCAGCATCTTGGTGGTTGGTCTGATTAAACCTACTCTATTTCTCCTCTATCATTTCTTCAACAAGTCTACCTGGTAAAGTCAACCTCCAGTGACATAACCTCTGATAGTGTCACTGAGGTGTTTCTGCATGTACCAATTTATTATCTGCACAAGGTTTGGTGTAGAGAATGGTGACCGTCACTCTTTGACTTGATACAAGCAATAGAATCAATAGAAATACAAGAAAGATCACAGTCCCCAGATAGCCATCAACCAATTCCTCGTGTATCATCGTTTTTTCGTATCCGTGATTAGGGTGTCCTGACTCCTGATCCATTATGATTTTGTAAGGTATCAGTTGATGATCGAATTTCCGAACATGAAGGTTGAGTGGGAGATTAACGTACTGGGCATTTCACGACTTCAACCACCATGAGGTTAGCCACCAGTGTATATGATTGCCTCTATAATCGCCTTCAAGTACCCAATGAGTTTTCCTAGATCTGAATATTCCTTGAAAGGCATGAAGGACCTGGATCATTCTATAAATGAATTATAAAATCGTCTATCAAATGGATTCTACATCTTCTTGAGCAGGAATCAAGTTAGATCGAGTTATCAATTAGTTTAGAGCAGACGTCGTCGGGTCTCCTAAATATCTGCAAGTTATACCTTGAATTTCGAATCATTCTTTACATTTTTACATTATGGGTCTGTTAAGATCATTGTTGTGACCTTGAATTCGTTCACCACGCCCGTACCGCTGGCTGCGTCATGGCTTCGTTCAGCGTTAGGGGCAGGTGGAGAGGCGCCCACTCGTTTGGTGTAGCATGACTCGTCCTCGTTGAGGGCAAGGGTTGCCGTCCAATGTCCAAGCGACGTAGCATTTACTTCGTCTCCTTCACTGATTCAAGGAAAGTCTTCATCATATGGTAGAACCTCTCAACACTGGACAGCTATGTAATTTCCTGAAGACATTTCATTGCGCCTGCATCACCTAAATTTTCACAAGAAACAGTTTCCTGGTTGGATCGCGGGACACACTCAATGGTATGCTACTTTAGGATCCGACGCGTCACGTCCAGTCGCGTCCAACTCGGTCTCCGCGATGTCTTTTCACGGGGGGTTTACCGGCAGAGCTACACCACGGGAGGGGTTTTTGTCAGAAATTGGCCTGACGCCGTCTGAGATCGGTCAGGTCAAAATTCGGCCTCAAGACCGACTCGCAGGCCATTTATATGCGGGCTGCAGTCGAGCTTGAGCCCAGCGAGCAATCTGATATGCACAGGCGGCCTGCAGGCCGCGTATCGACGGCCTGCAGGCGGGCATCATGTTTCAGGCTTAATCCGGCCGGAATTTCGCCTGCAAGCGGCCAAGAGACTGCCAGCAGACGGCCACCACAGACATCGGCGATTTGACTTCAATCCCAAATTTGACTTCAAACCCAAATTCACATCATTCCAACCACACTTCACCACAACCACCTTATCAACTGTGCAGCGTGCTCAATCTAAATCATGAATGATCTACCACGGTGTAAGTCTTATTTCAATCACATTTCAATGAAGGCTTTCTACTGACACTTGACCCATAATTCCACACACATCCACTCAGTTATTGTTGAACAAAGCAAGAGTCCTTTAAGGTATCGATGTAATGTCTGCATCCAAAGCCGAACCATGAAATACTATGAAGCTCATGTGGCTTCACCAGCGCACATACGTGCCTCAGAGCAGTTTCTCACAAGACAAGCAGAAGACCAAGTCCTACGTCAGCAGTTTCCGACCCCTGTAGAGAGATCACCAACACCACCTGCAATCAACCTGAACCACTACTTTGAAGACAATGACCATCTTTCCGAATTGCAATCGGTCCCACCTTCTCCACTTTCATTCCTCCGCTCCTTCGGCCAAACAGACAAGGATGGATATGAATCAGATGACTCAGACAGCCGGATTGATTTTCATAAGCTCCGCGATGCCTTTGATGCACTGAACACAGGACTTGACAACGCTGAAGATGAAGCTGTCTACGAGGAATTGTTGGACCACGAGCTCTCAGGCATTAGAATTGAGGAGTCAGCTGAATGGTACCCCTTCAAAAAGAAAGAGGTAAGTAGCTCGAGTATATTGCATCACTAGACACTCATTGATTGTTTTCAATTGTGACAGCATGTGGTAGCTTTGCTCATGATCGGATCAAACCGGAACCTCCTCTCGCGTGTCCAATACCAGCGAATACAGTCCCTTCTGCGTATTCTGGGAGTCACTCTGCCAGATTGGGGCACTTTGAGGGCACTTGTCAAAAGATTGAAGAAAAAAATGGGTCTTGATATACGGGAAAGGATTAGTCCATGTGGGAATCCACTGTTTGGTTTGGATGTCAAGACCATCATAAGTAACGTGAGCCAGCTTTCATTACTCAATCTGACTAGCTTAGACATAGCTAAATTGTTTGCGTTCACAGGAGTTGGCAAACCCCTTGGTCAGCCCCTATTTGGTATATGTGCCCGAGCTCACCATTGATGGGCCAATCAACCGGCTATCGCAGTGTGAAAAGTGGCGTGAAGATTACCCTCCTGATCTACGTGTTCAAATGATATCATCCAACAATGTCCACTACTACATCTACGAGCCAGTCCAACTGAGAACTCAGCAGCTTGTAGTACCTGTTTTCTTCTTCCAAAAGGATGGTTGTCTTATGGCCAAGTGTCTACCGGCCATAGTCAAACACGATCCTCATCACCGGTCTCAACTCAAAGTCATCATTCCTCAAGATTGCGCTTTTGACTCTGACACGCTAGTCACCATTCCTTGCAAAGACTTTTGGCGATCATTTGGACATATTGAGGTGGAGAATGGAGTTCTTCTTAAAACTGTTTGTGGGAATCATATGTATCGTAAGTTCAAATAATATTAATTTATTAATTAAATGTACTCAAGAGCTAATGTGAATCATTGTCCTTGCAGAATCTGAACATTCAACAGTACCATGCAATCCAATTGAAAACCCGTGGCGAGCCAAGGCACAAGGCAAAATGATCCGCCATGTTCCTCTGGCTCTTTATTCTGACGACACTTCAGGAAATATATCCAAAAAGTGGAACAAACACATGAGTATCTACTTTACACTGGCCGGCTTACCATCTGATCTATCAAACCAGGAGTTCAACATCCATTTCCTGGCGACTTCAAATTGTGCGACAGCCCTAGAGCTATTTGATCAGGTTGTTGATGATTTAAAGTGAGGCATTCTTGTTGTTGAAATAGGTCTACTTGGGTAATTAACATGCACTTGCTTCCTCTAGTGATTATGGAACAAATGGCTTCTTTGCATATGACCAACATCTGGGTGCAGAAGTTTTGGTAATGGCGGTGCCTCTTTTTCACCTGGGGGACTCTCCAATGCACGCAGAGATTTCGAATACACTCAACCCAGCCAACACCCTCACGCCATGTCGGATGTGTGATCTACATGTGGCAAAGCAGGCTGACAAACAATTAGAAAATTTTGTCAGAGACTTTCTTGGCCTGGATGAAGATGGAGAGAAGGTATGAGACCAATCTTTGTTCTTCCAGATAGCGAAACTGAATGACCTCTGCAGTGCCTATTACCTGGCCAAGATTGGAACCAGACTAGACGATGGACCAAGGAAATTTGGAACACATCTCAAAAGCGCAACACTAAAACTCGAGTTGAAAAGATGGGCCGTGACTTTGGAGTTCGAGATCCTATGAACAAAGTTTTCCAGAAAAATGTGCAAGTAGCCCATGAGTCTCTGCCTCCTTCTGAAGTGGAGAAACTCTGTCAAGACATCAATGCTCAACATGGAGAACATATCTTCAATCCCATGTTGAGACTCAAAGGTGAGTCTCTCTCATTATACTTTGCTTTCAGTTGAAAGAAGCTGATCCATAGGCATTGTTTTGTAGGATTTGACGGTCACAAAGATACTCCAGTTGAGGTGCTCCATGTGGCACTTTTGGGTACCACAAAGTATCTCTTCCACGACACGATGAAAGAACTAGAAATATCAAGGCTGACTCAAAGAACTACAACAATCTTTCCGGTCGTTGGAGGGCTTTCAATACTAGTGGTTTGAATATCCCGCCCGTTCAACCAAACACAATGATTACTTACTATCAGAGTCTAGTGGGGAAGGAGTTTCGAACTGTGTTACAGACCGTCCCCTTTGTCCTGTTTGAACACCTTAGCGAGGAAAAACGCGAAATGTGGACATCTCTTTGTCTTCTAGGATCTTATATTTTTCAGACTGAAATACCGAACATGGAAACCTATCTAGCTGAACTGGACATTGCCATATCCAGATTTCTCAAAAACTTGGTAGCCCTCGATGCTCGCTGGGTCAACAAGCCCAAGTTTCACATGCTCGTTCACCTACAAGATTCAATTCGTAGGTTTGGACCGGCTTGTTTATTTGCAACTGAAAAACTTGAATCTTTCAACGGTGTCACTCGCCACAAATCGATTCATTCAAACCATCAAAGTCCAGGACAAGACATAGCAAACACTTCCTATACCCAGGTCATGTTGAGGATTTTTGTATCCGGTTCTTCCGTTTTTGACCATGATCTCAAATCGCGTGTCCATAGTGGCCCAAAATTGCGAGCGTTATTATCTTCAGTACCCGAGTTATTTCAAGCAATGGGTCTGGACTCGTCTTTGGGGTGCATCTCCACCTATTCAATTGGCCGTAAGTAACCTTCTTTCAATTCTCTGGATGCCTTCATGTAACTAAGCTTCTTGATGTCATAAGCTTTGTGCGAGAAACAATCAGTTGCACCATCTTGCATCCCACTCAGTGTCGACCGTGGACAGTTGAAAGTCTACCAAAGTATCAAGTTGATTGGGCGACACAAGGC